CCCACCCTCCCTCAGCCTTTCTACTGTGCCACGCCTGGCTCCAAAAGAGCTGAGACGACAGCCATAAAGTGGCTTTCATGCAATCATCTACACCTTTACAGAGGCCCACTTGGCCTGCACATTCTCAGTCTAGAGCCCTGGAAAGAAAGAATTGCATAAGTCTTGGTTAATGGCCCCAATTAATCCATAAAAACCCTTAGCAAAGCCTCAATTTTGGACATGTTACAGTACTGTAAATAAAATATCCAAAGGAAATTAAAAGCCATTTCTATTTGAGGCTGGAATGACCTTTGGTCCCTAGAGTCATATCCCTGAGCCAGCTTCTCTACTAAGGCTCAGGACAGGCAGGAACATATCCCTCCAAATTTCCCAGGGAGCCCAGGGCTTTGGTTTTTGTCACCTCAGCACAAAGATGTTGCCTGGGAAGAAGCTAAGGGATACATCTCCAAGATTCCCAGAAAGATCAGCATCTCCGGGGCTTTGACAGAACTGTCTTCAGTTCTACATGGAATCAGAGAGGCCTGGGAAAAGCCTCGTGGCCTGGCTTCCGTGCGCCATGTCTATCCTGCTGTTTCCACGAGGCTTTCCCCAGGGTCACAGCCACGTGTAGAAATGTGGAAAGTGCTACCTGGGAGAGGAATATTGTAGGATTCCCTCTTTCAGCTTACCAAAAGTCTGCTCAGAAACCAGAGTTTAAGGAGGCTTAAACTGAAAAATATGGATTGCTCCTAATATGCAAAGATCTCCAACCAACCAACTGAAGAAAGACAAACAACACAACAGAAAAATGTTCCGAGGATATAAAAATGAAAGATAGTTAACAAACAAAAAAAGATTCCCAAGATTTCCATTACATTCCCATGTAATGTATAGCTTTGTATATACTGACAGGGAACGCAATCCAAGAAATATGCCGAGGGGAAAAAAGCAGAAAACACTATGATCCCATTTAATTAAAACTATAAATAAAATTAATTAGGTAAACAATACAGTCTTAATTAATTATTTTATATATAATTTAACATGTAAATAATTGGTATGTACATTAATTAATTTGATTAAATTATATGTGGGGTTATACGTCCATAGACGAGGATTCATGGAAATAAAGCTTTTTTTATTACACCAAATGGAACTACAGTGTTGACCTCTGAGGACTTGGATTATAGAGAGCAATTTTTATTTTTCACATTATGTATCAATTGTGCATTAAAAAAAACTTTGAAATACATGCATAATTTAAAAATTGAAATAGCGAGCCCAGCCGGCGTGGCTCAGTGGTTGAGCACTGACCTATGAAGCAGGAGGTCAGGGTTTGATTCCCGGTCAGGGCACAGGCCTGGGCTGTGGGCTCGATCCCCAGAGGGGGCATGCGGGAGGCAGTGGGTCGATGACTCTCTCATCACTGATGCTTCTCTCTCTCTCTCTCCCTTCCTCTCTGAAATCAATAAGGACATATTTTAAAAAATTGAAATAGCGAATAAATACAATAACACTGCTGCTTTTAAATGAGTAAACATTTAGCGGGTTAAAATCTCGTGCTGGGAGAATAGGAGGAAAAGGGCATTCATTCGGGACTGGTGTCAACTGGTGCCGTAAGAACAGGTGCAGTTTGTTGGTACTGATCTGAAGTTAAACTGCACATACAGCATTTTATCTAGATTTTCACTTCTAGGATGCAGTCCATAGAAGTACCTGGAAAAGTACACAAGAAACAGGCAATAATGACAACAGCAGCTGCCACTTAGGAAATGCTTCATCTGCCTGGTGCTGTCTGAGCTCTTAACACAAAGAAATGAACCACACGCCCTCACATGGAAGCTTACACTGGGCCAGGTACTTCTCCAAGCTCCCTATGCTCTGCCTTATGCAGTTCTTACAGAGGTGGGCACTCTTACTTTGCCCACTTAACAGAGAAGGAAGTGACCGCACACAAACGGGACCTAACCTGCTCCAAGTCATGCAGCTCGTGAGTAGCAGAGCCCAGGATTTGAATGCAGGCAGTTGGCTTCAGACTCTATGCCTGTGACCACTACACTGGGAGGTAGTAAGTCACACAAACTTCACAGCAGCTCCTTGAGGTAGGTCTTTGCGTTGTATTGCTTGGGGCTGGCTAGCCCATACAGCCCTTTTTATGTTTATTGGGAGACAGAACCCACCCACCACTAGAGGAACCAAAGAGGCCAGATACTCGCTAACCCAGGTCCCCATGCAGTGAGGAGCAAGCATGTGGCTTGCTTGGACAGCCAGGTGTGCCCAAGGAGGGCTCTGACACAGAGAAGTAGGGACAGTGGGGAGTGGGCTTTGCTTAATGAGGGGGGCAGGCAGGTGTGGGGTTGGCAGCAAGCTGCAGAAGTTCCAGGGCTGCACTTGGAATCCGAGGGGCAGAGGCAGTGTTCCGAGGGTGGGGGCTCAGATAAGAACAGGCTCTGACTGCTCCAAGCAGCAGTTCAAGCACAGCCACCATTGGCACTTTATGACTCAGGGAACTATTGGTGCTTGACAGATTAGGGGGATCCAGGAGGCTGTGGCAAGCAAACCCAAAAGGAGAATCCCATGGTGGCCCCAAAAGGATGTTGAGGTCCAGACCACTTGAGCAAATAACAGTTCTTCTCTTAGTCTTTTGAGAGCTTCTGGTCCCAATAGATACCAAATATGGGACCATGGGACACCAGGTGACTTTGAGACCCAAGACCACCTCGCCAGCCCTGGAGCTCCTGATCCTTAAGTAGAGCTGGGTGGAGCCAGAGAATGCACCGGAGAGAGAAGCCACGTGATGCCCTGGGGTGCCCTCTAGCTTGCCCTCTCTTGCCAAATAGCACCTCCTTCCTCTGTCCCCTCCAGTGGCTTCAGGAGAAGTTATGCAGGAAAGGTTCTGAGAAGAAAAATCACTCTAGCTTACATTACAGGGAGACAGTTATGGCAAAAGCTCCCAAGTCTAGAGTGCTGACCAGAGTGCAGTTTACCCTCATGGTCCAGGATCCATGGTGGGCGCAGGAACAGAGAGAGGTGGGAGTGGGACCTTCTACCCACTATTTCCCTAATAACCCATTCATAACATTTTTGCTTGCAGTCCCTGACTCTGGGTTGTTGTTTCGGGGTTTGGTATCCTGTACAAAGAGGAGACACCAATAGTTCCACTGAACTGGAACCTGAAACAGCTACCCGGCTCTTTGGGGCAAAAGTGGGGGACAAAGCGTTGGCTGTTATGATTGATCCTGATGACTGAGAGACAATAACGTTCCTGTTATATGACAGGGTCAGGGAGGGAGATAACCCAGGGATACCTTGCACCTTCGTGTCAACGGTTAAATTAACAAAAGACTGAAGCAGCAGAAGCAAGGTAACTGAGTTCAGGTCTTCCCCAAGCGGAGGTTTAGGTGGCTGCACAAGAAAAGAACCATCTTAGGTCCTGGCTGTATAACTTATAGGTTTAGAGGCTGAGTTCTGGTAGCTGGGCTCAGATCTGGGCGCTAGCACATGCACGCTGTGTGCCTCTCTCTACTTTAGTTTCCACATCTGTAAAATGTGGGTAATAACAGTTCATATCTCGAGTGGCTATTTGAGAATTAAGTAATACTTGTAAAGCACTTAAAACAGGGTCTGGCATGTAGCAAACACTCTATAAACGTTAGCTATTATTTAAGGCAAGGGAATGAAAGGAAAGTCATAAATACCAACCACAGTATCAGGATCAGTTGCCAAAATGAGAGCAGTGCACACAAAAACCCATACGGGAATGTTTATACCAGTTTTATTAGTAAGAGCCAAAAACTAGAAAAACAATTGAGATGTTCCTGAACGTGCAGATGATTAAACAAACTGGGTGATTACTCAGCAATAAAAAATAATAAGCTATTGCGCAAAGGAAACCATCAACAAAATGAAAAGGCAATCTACTGAATGGGAGAAAATATTTGCAAGTCATATATCTGTAAATAAGTTAATACCCAAAATAAATAAGAAAATCATACAAGTCAATAGCGAAAAAAGAAGAAAAGAACACAATTTAAAAAATCCGCAGATGACCTGAATCGACATTTTCCCAGAGAAGACATACAGATAGCCAACAGGTCCATGTGAATGTGCTCAGCATCACTGATCAGGGAAATGCAAATCAGACTACAATGAGATATCGCCTCACACCTGTTAGAATAGCTATTATCAAAAAGAAGAAATGTGGAGAGAAGATAATAGTGGATTTAGGTTCTGATTGGAATATTTTAGCAATTAATATGTTATTGGTTTTTAGTAAATAGGCGTTATTATGTTTATGTCTTCTATTTACATTCCTATTTTGCAGTTTTATTAGGAATAGCTGCTGATTTTCATGAAGTGCTTTTTGGGGCATCTATTGATATGACCCTATGGGCTCTCTCCCTTACTTTATTGATGTAGTGAGTTAGGTTCACAAAATTATTTTAAAATAATAAATTTAACATCAATACACTATATGAGAAAAAGATGAACTCTTACTTTAAAGATCAAGAAATGACTCTATGGAAAGGTGAACAATATTTCTAACTGGGAAATTTTAATATAAAAAAGTCAATCCTTCTCAAATTACTAAGTAATTATTTTCCATGAGGAATCACCATGGATTTGAAAGAATGGAAGAAATTATTTTAAAGTTCATGTGGAGCCCGGCCAGGCGTGGCTCAGTGGTTGAGCGCTGACCTGGGATCCAGGCGATCAAGGTTCGATTCCCGGTCAGGGCACATGCCCGGTTGTGGGCTTGATCAATGACTCTCTCATCATTGATGTTTCTGTCTCTCTCTCCACCTCTCCTTTCCTCTCTCTGAAATCAATAAAGATATATTTAAAAAATAAATAAATAAATAAATAAAGTTCGTGTGGAAAATAAATGAGTGGCAAATGCCTAAAAATCTACAATAATCAAAACAATATAGACGAATAGGTGTCAAGGCCAGTCAATAAAGAAAATATAGTCTTTTCAACAAATGGTGTTGGGAAAACTGGATATTCACATGCAAAAGAAGATGCTCCTTTTTTTATACCATATATAAAAGTCAACCCAAAACAGATGAGATCTAAACATAAGAGCTAAAACTATAAAACTTTTGGGGGAAAAAACAAAACACCACACTGGAAAATCTTCATGACATTGCATATGACATCAAAGATATGGATATGATATCAAAAATATGGGGACAAAAGAAAGAATAAACAGGACTATATCAAAATTCAAATCTGTGTATCAAAGGACACTGCCGGAAGACAGCCTAGCTCCTGCCTTGGTGGGACTCTTAGTTTAGGGAGGCAGACAGTCTTCAGACAAGTGTGACACATGCTCTGAGAGGGATACTGCAGAACTGAATTACAGAGGGTATAAAACTGCAAAAATCCTCAGGGGAGACCCACAGAGTAGTGCAGCCACGGGCAAGCTGGACATGTTTTCTCTCTCATCTTTTTGTTATAGCCCCTGGGGCCAGGCTTGAGCAGTACGGGGAAATGATCCTTATGTAACTCTTTTGTAGTTGAAGATTCATATTTCATTTCTCCTAAAAAAAAAAAAAA